ACAAAACTATGAAATGGGATTGAAGATTGGCAGGTGCAGTGAGAGAGAGAGAGAGAGAACTGCTCTAGCAGAGAATTTTATGGAGCTCATGAATAATAGTGTAAAGTACAAAGAAGAAAAAAATTTTTTGTTTGTTTGTTTTTTTACAGTGATAATGCTTTGTGTTGTTGAGGTCGTAATCATACTGATGCTGATCTTCCTAAGGAATCGGATCCGGATTGCTATTGCACTGTTAAAGGAAGGTAGTAGGTATGTTTGTCTGATTTTAATATATTTTAAATTTTATTAAATGATCTTTAAAGTACACTCTTCTTGAGCTTCATCTTGCACTAGCTAAGGGCAGAAAGTTGGCGGTTAAAGTACCACACTGGGTTTGTTGAGCCGAACGGGCAGCATAAGGAATGCCAGTTCTCTGTTAATGAGGTCGTGCTTGTAAGAGCTTTCTTTTGTGCTGTAAGACATTTCTTGTCTCTTAGCTCCCTGCCTTAAGAGTATGTACTCTGTTAGTGGTGCCACGTGTCCCCAGTACAAGAAGGTGTAGCAGCAGAAATGCTAAGTTTGGTACACTTTTAATAGGAGCCTGGGACCTATAGCTGCCGGCTTTGCTCTGTCACTGGATTGTCTCCAGAGCGACATACCAGTGGTAGAGGATTGGTGTTGTTTTGGCTGTGGCTTTTATTTAGGAAAGGCTGCATTCTTCTGGCTCCAGTCAAACTTTTGTGTGGACATGCATAAATCTGCAAAGAGGAAAGGGGACTTCATGACCAGGTGTTGTAATACGGTGCAGTCCAAGATACTTCTTTTCAGCTCTGCGTAAAGAAGAAAGCAGAGCAAGATATGAGAGTTGAAGGCCTAGATGACCTCTTCATTTTGTGTTGCCTGAAATCTGCAGTCTTTGTTCACAGTGGTTGCTGTTTTAAACAGTGCAAACACTTAGTTCTTTTTTTTTAAATGGGAATATAACAAACGAGAAATGGACTTAAAACATCAGGGCCTTGGGTTTCGTTGCAGATAGGCTAAGGTCTCATAGACCTTGGAAGTGGCACTCTGCTGTTAAAGCACATAGAGTTAGCGCCGAGTTTGTCTGTGTGCGCTTGCTTGTAGTTTTCTGCCTTCTCTGTTGACATTGTGGTTCTCGAGAATTCTCAGGATTTGGGATTTTTGTAATGGGATTAAGAAATATTGAAGTTCTGCATTCAGCCAGGTACCTGTTTCCTGTCTTACACGACTGTGCAATTAGAGCATAGCAATTAATTTTGGCGGTGCTAAATTACACTGTATAATTCCTGTTCATTAAAATCCAGGAACACCTTTAACACTCTGCAACACTTTTGTTCACAACCTTAACAGGTAGAAGGATTTTGGAAAGTTCATAAACTTCCTGGTGAGAAGTAATAACATTCTCTAGTTTTTCAACAGCATGGAAAGATCACTTGAGGGTGATGTTTTTACTCTCATGCATAACACATGAGGTGAAACACTGTATGTAATTACTGTGAACCTAACAGACCATGACCTGTATTCAGGAAGATGAAAAATAAGCTGCTAATAACTGGAAATCAAATTACATTTTTCAGTACCTTTTAACTACTCTCTCAAAAAAATTACAATTATAATGCTGATAATCGACTTGAAATCCATAGTTGGAAACAATTAACAGTTGTTACTCAGTTTGTTGGAGTCACTGTCCTTAGTCTTAGTGGTAGCCAAGAGCCAACCATTAACTGCTGAACACTGCTGATACGTAGTGATTATTTCTCAGACAGCATAAGGCTGCATCATCCTGCATGACTCTGAATGGGCTTTTATGTCTCATAAACTCAGACAAAAATTAACGTGTGGCTCTTGAACTCTTGGTTGCACATGACAGTCCCCTTGCATTCCCCACAGCATTTACTAGTTTAGCATTAAACTGAGTAAATATGTCTCCTTTTACACTCTGAAAACTATAAATCAAATAGCATCAGAAGTGCCTCAAGTTGTAGGAGAAATACTATTGGAAATGACAAGAGACAAAAAGGCTCACGATAAGCTTACAGGGTCACTGGAAAGAAAGTTTAGACTAATGGGAAGAGGTAGATGGCAGGAGCATAAGGAAGAACCAACCTGTAAGCTTCTGTGAACGAAACCCGTGCTCTCTGAAGTCCCATCCCGTGAGATACCCAGCAGAGGTGCCTCCAGACAGCTGCAGCCAGTTTACCCAGCGGGGCTGTGTCAGCTCTGGAGCCGTCCCCAGCAGAGCAGGAGCTGGCGTCCTCAAGCTTCTGCTCACTGGTCGCGTTCTAGCCACAAGGAGGATTAGTAGAATGTCAGCCTAAACGTCAGCCATGATGTTACAAGGAGCTGTCTAAGCCATCAGCAGCGAAAGGCCAGTATTCCTTCTGCCTGCTGACGGCCAGAGGTGAGCACCACTCCTGAATGGGACACGCAAGGAAAGTCACATTGTCACAGGGAGGTGTTAGCAATGTCCTGGCATTAGAAGGACACGTTAGTGTCCCTGCCCCAAAACAGTTAGTTAAGGCAGGAAAGGGGCTGGGAACAGAGTCCTCACATGCAAAGTAGCAAGAGGTGATTTCAGGTGTGTAGGAGCTGGAGGAAGAGCATAGGTGCTGAGCAGAGCGGGACAAGGAAGTACAGGGTGATGTCTGCAGCAGTCAGCAAGAAGACGTGATTGAAATGGGTTTGTGACCTGTTAAGAGCTGGATCTGTGAAGCAGTAATGGAGAAGGAGGAAGCAGAAGACAGGCTTGAACATCACAAATCGATAAAGTTGACTGTAGTGCTGCCGATAAAAGTGGAGTGGTGGAAATGACAACATGAAGATGTGAAGACATTTGAAGAAATAATCTGCAGTATTCTGAGGTCCCAGCACTAGGTTATGCTACCACTGTCAAAAAGTAGCTCAAAGTAAAAAGGATGATGCTAGAACAGGACTGATGAAAAGCTTGTTTCTTAAATTGTTGTGGCTTGCTAACGTGTTGTGTTTCTTTCATAGGGCTATTGGCTATATAATGTCTACATTGTTCTACCCAATCGTCACCTTCGTACTCATTGCAATTTGTATTTCCTACTGGGCTGTGACAGCTGTGTATCCTTCTGTCTGTGTACCTCTTTGGAGGAACAGTCTTCTGGTCTGGTCTGCAAGGCCAGATAATTCTCTGCTATTTCACGTGACTCAGATCAGCGTTAGGAGGGCTGTTTGGTCACTTGGCACCTGCTGCGCGGATCCACTCTTCCTCACAGCGCGTTTGCATGTGATGCACGAATCAGACAGTCAATTTAATTTCATTACAAAGAACTGGACTAATATTCACACCAAGGCTGAGGGGTCATACGAGGCTTTGTGTACTACATAAGGATGACTTTGAAGAGGAAAAAAGGGCCCTCAGCAAAGAGTGAATATGGCCTTTAATGTGCTGCATGCTCTATAGGGCTGATGTTAATGGGGGTGGGGGGAGCTCCAGGTATGTTTTGGTCAGAAAAGTGTAGGAAAGGAGTGAGAGAACATACAATGCACTGAGTCCCCTCTAAATTGCATAACAGCAACCACTGTCTGTTTTTTCCCAGAACATCAAAGGTTTGGCAAGATGTCAGAAAGGGAAAAACTGCTTTTTGAAAAGACATTGGTCTCCCACATGCAAAGAGGGTCCGTTATTGCTGTTCAGGACAATGTTAATTCATCCCTATGCTCTGTGTCTACTTCCACCAAAACATGAACTGTCAAAGAACTACTGCATAATCTGCCTTGTCAAAAGTAGATGTGCAGGAGAGACTGAGTCAACTTGCAAGGTTATTCCCCTTGCCCGTTGTGGTCAGGGGTTATTACAACTCTGGGATGGACTTTGCCTTAGTTCTCTAAGTAATGAGAGTATTCGGTATTGCCTGTACATCTCTGCATAGCAAAAGCAGTTTTTCTGTTATCTGCACAAGTTCTCTGGAGCTGGTGGTTACCCACTGCCGAATCCTGAGTTGCTCGAAGCCTGCAGTTCTGTGATTCCTCCTTAAAATATTTCATTCAGTTTTCTGGCTACATCAGGAGAACCTGTGTATAAAGTAATGGCTAATCAAATTCTGTGCAAGTATGCAAACCTGACTTGTGACCCAGAGGTAAGTGTAATGTATATTTACATTGTATATTTATATATATGTAAATATGTATATTTACATATAGTGAGAGCTATACTTATTGCATTTCTTAATCAGTATTAAATACAATGCTGGTAGAAAATGTGCCTATTTGAAGTAATGATTCCTCGTGTTAAATCTGAAAATAATACTTAGTGTTCAGATAACACTTCTTTGTTCAAAGCAATTTACAGACATAAACTAATTTTTCTGCTAAACTGTCCTGTGAGGCAAGTAAATATTAACTTTCTAATTTACAGGGTGAGAAAGGAAGACACAGAAATACAGGCTTATTTGGAAAGGTCTTCTTGAATTCATGAGGATTTTATTTTGTTGTCCTCAAAAGGCAATAGAAGACTTTGAAAGCTGTGCCTCAAACTTGCCCAAAGACCAGCCATGTTTTGAAGCAGAGGCTTAGCTTCTTTTGGCACAGCAATGACCTTTATGAAGCTTCAAAAATATTTGTGTGTTGGTTTGTTTGGGTTTTTTTTGTCTTCAGTTAAGTGTTTTGACTTGACTGTGGGGTTGAATTTAAGTATTTTTTGAAAACTAGAAATATTTACCAAATATTATATCAGGATTATTTTCAGGTGTTTAAATTTCAATGTACTGTGTATATCTCAAGCAATTCCCTACCCTGCTAATGTCTGAACACTAAAAAAGAAAGAGATTAGACATGACTAGTTTTATTTCATGCCCAAACTGAGCAAATATGTGAAATGAACAATAGAAATATGGAAAAGTAATTAAATGTAAAGACTACTCCTGTTTTAGTACTCTGAGATAGGTAAAGGAAGTCGTGACCACATCCACAGCTTGTATAAAATGGCATAGCTCAGTTGATTTCGATTCAACTGTGATGATTTACCCAAACTGCAGATTTGGCCTCTGGTTTTCAAATAATTACTTTTTTTTTTTTTTAATGTGAGCGGGTTTTCTTTAATGAAACTGGAGCATTTATGTATCTTAAAAGTAAATTTCTGAAATTCAAATTCCATTTATGCAGATTTCGGGCATGTGGTGAACAGCCTTGTTTGCTAACTGCATAGTTTAAAGTTAAGCACCTGCATAAGACATTAATATGAATCTTTAAATATGTTAACAGGTTACAAAGAATTGGAGTGCAGTGCTGAATGAGCTAATGAAACATCAAGCAGAATTGTGTTATTTGCATTAAGGTGCTATACTCCAGAGACTTCGTACACAGAGTTCATTGCTTATCATTGTGGTGTTTCTTTTTCTTTCTATACAGACTTTTAACACAACCAATGTGACTAAATTGTGTCCCGGTGCTCAGTGTACTTTTGCTTTTTATGGAGGAGAAAGCCTGTATCATAAGTACATCTTCATCTTCCAGTTAGCCAATGCCTTTGTCTTTCTCTGGCTGGTGAACTTTGCAATTGCACTGGGTCAGTGTACCCTTGCTGGTGCCTTTGCCTCTTACTACTGGGCCTCTCGAAAACCAGCTGACATTCCACTGTGGCCACTCTTCTCTTCATTTGGACGAGCAATACGGTAAGACTACGGAGCTGGATGTAAACCTTGTCATGTATCCAGCAAGTACTCTTCTTACTTCTCATCACAACTCCAAAACGTAGCACCATACAAGCTGCTATGAGGAAAACTAACTGTTCCACCCAAAACCAGCAGAATCAGGAAAACGTAGTTGTTAAGGGGAGACTGGATCCTGTAGCCCAACCGCAGCAAGGCTGCTGCAGCTCCATGCCTCCAGGTCCAACCAGTTATAAGGCTGAGCAGGTATTCACAGTAGGCGCAGACACCGAAATACACGTATACAACCCATGTATACATGGCTGGCTGCACAGATGGACAGACGGACACAGCACTCACACAAACACCAATATCACCAATGGCTTCATCCTGTTTCTCTGGCAGATCAGGAAGATGGTCCATTAGTATATGTAATTCCCACTAATGGATCTTCCTCCACTTATAATTTTATTTTTATATATTTATATACACACACACACACGTACAGAATTGTGCATATACGCATATGCACAACATAACAGTCATTTATTTTGTTTTAGATACCATACAGGTTCGCTGGCATTTGGAGCCTTAATTCTTGCAATTGTCCAGCTTATTAGAGTAATACTGGAGTACTTGGATCACAAACTGAAAGGTGAGATTTATGAATTTGCTCTACGTTATAAAGACCTCCTTAATTACTTCCTTATTTTCCCGAGATGTTTTTTTCAGCAATGTACAGAGGTTAATTCCACATTATTTTTAGCCATTGACGTTCCATTTGAAGCCAGTGAATTTGTGCTGATTTACTCAAATTGAGTCTATGTCCTTGGGAACTTAATGCAGAGTTCATGCGGGATGTGGATCTGATCTAATTGAAAGCTGGTGAGCTAAATTTAGTTGAGAAAGATAATCCATACTTAGAAGAAAAGAAATAATGTTTCTGCTTTTGTCACAATTTAAGATTTTCTTCTGAATAGCTTTCTATGTTTTCAAGACTGTTCATGAGTTCTATATGATATACTCTCTCCTTTTTTTCAGGTACACAGAACTCCTTCACTAGATTTCTACTCTGCTGCCTCAAATGCTGTTTCTGGTGTTTGGAAAAATTCTTAAAATTTATAAACAGAAATGCCTACATCATGGTATGTGCTGTCTCTGCATGTGGTCTCCCCTATCTGGGACACTAAAATACCCTAGCCACTACTAGTTGGTCAACAGCCAACTAGAATCTGCTGAATAATGGGATTTATGTGAGTTTTCAGGAAATGCATGTGGTCCTACCATGAAAAAGTAAGATCTTTTTTTCTTCTTGTAAACTCAGCCTCTTTTTGTGCCTGTCCTTGTCCATCCCCCTCACCCCTCAAACTGAGTGGGAAGGGATGGCATAACTCATTAACTCCTCCTCTGATTCAGCAATTGAAATCCTGATTTCAACAGGAATATTAGCTTGTTTCATGTTGCATGTTGATGGCGCTTCAGTTTGGAGGCAGTGTTTGAATAAGGAGGTCAGAAGGCATGTGGTATCTGTATTTTCTCCTGGAAGTTTAAAGCACAAATTCTACTAGCAGCAGCACTGATATTTCTATAAAATAACCCTCCTTAGATTTCAGAAGAGAAATTCCAGATTTCCATCTGAACAAACATAGACAGATTTCAGCCTAGGTTGTTCTGACTTGGAGCAATTTCAGTAATTCAATGGTACAGTCATGGACTTGTCTCAAAGGACATGGCTGTAATGGGTCCGTTATAAACCATGTTCATAATTGATGTTTCAAATTAATGCCATAGAATCATAGAATGGTTTGGGTTGGAAGGGACGTTAAAGATCATCTAGTTCCAACCCCCCTGCCATGGGCAGGGACACCCTCCACTACACCAGGTTGCCCAAAGCCCCATCCAACCTGGCCTTGAACACTTCCAGGTATGGAGCAGCCACAGCTTCTCTGGGCAACCTGTTCCAGTGCCTCACCACCCTCAGAGGGAAGAATTTCTTCCTCAGATCCCATCGAAATCTGCCCTCTTTCAGTTTAAAGCCATTGCCCCGTGTCCTGTCACTACATGTCCTTGTCCAAAGCCCCTCTCCAGCTTTCTTGTAGCCCCTTTAGGCACTGGAAGGCTGCTGGAAGGTCTGCCTGGAGCCTTCTCTTCTGCAAGCTGAACAGCCCCAACTCTCTCAGCCTGTCTCCACAGCAGAGGTGCTCCAGCCCTTGGATCATCTTTGTTGCCCTCTTCTGGACCCGCTCCAAGAGCTCTATGTCCTTCTTCTGTTGAGGACTTCAGAGCTGAAAGCAGCACTGCAGGGGGGATTCTCACGAGAGCAGAGCAGAGGGGCAGAATCCCCTCCCTGACCTGCTGCCCACGCTGCTCTGGATGCAGCCCAGGACACGGTTGGCTTTCTGGGCTGCCAGTGCACATTGCCAGCTCATGTTGAGCTTCTCATCAACCAACAGCCCCAAGTCCTTCTCCTCAGGGCTGCTCCCAATCCATCCTCCGCCCAGCCTGTACTTGTACTTGGGGTTGCCCTGACCCACGTGCAGGACCTTGCACTGGGCCTTGTTGAACTTCATGAGGTTCTCACAGCCCCACCTCTGAAGCTTCTCCGTCTTGAAGAGGAAGTATTCTTTTTTACTGTCTTGTTAGCTGTTGGTAAACTGACTGCACTAAGAGCTGTTCTGTTATATCTTACCCTTGTGGACACTATTCCAAGGCAAAGAAATTTTTTTTGTTCCTGAATAACTTCAGCTGCTTTACTTTATGCTGATGTAAATCCACCGACTTTGATACTGGTATTGCTCATCTCTTCTTAAGTGAGAGCAGTGTCAGGTCCAAGGAGATACCTACAGGAGTCAACTCTCTTCTGCTCTACAAGTGCCTGTTCCTTTCCAGTGACTGTAAATCTAGTGTAGGTAACTCGCAAAGTGAGAATAATCCCTCAGCAAGTACCTAATTTGCTCTAATTGCTCTAATTTGCTCTAGTTGGCAAACGGAGTTTACTGCCTGCAAGATCACAAGGGGTGGCATGCTCATCACCAGGTGGTTTGAAGGGGAAAGACGGATGATATTCTGTCCCAGCCTGGTGGGAAGCATTGAGAGGTAGCAGGTGATTAAGGGAAGTGCTTTATGCTCATCAGAGTTTCAAGGCCACATATTAGAGAGAACTGTGCATTACACACAGTAAGATTCTGGCATACAAAGAGGTATGTATCCTAATTATTTAAAATACTTAACAGCTACTATTATTTTTCAGATTGCCATATATGGTAAAAACTTCTGCACCTCGGCAAAGGAAGCATTCTTTTTGCTCATGCGGAATGTGGTGAGGTAAGGGACCATCTCCCAGTTCTTAGAAATATCAGCATTTCCTGCTGTTGCGCTCTGAAGACACATTTCTTTCCTCTCCCATGTCTCCTCCAAATATTTTTGGAAGCTGCTTCTGTCCTCAGACATGTCCCTCACTTCTAACACTCAGTGTGTAAATAGCAGGCTGTCCAGCACAATAACCTATGCAAAATTGATGTAATCTAACAGTTTTATTGTGATTAGTCCTTCAAATTCGTAAGCACCCAATAGATTGTAATAGTGCCTCCAAGGAACCAATGGAGCCCCTGAGAGGAGATCTATGGATATACAGGAATGTGGTGCTCATCATCTGCTGTACGTGTGCGTGTTTCTTGAGCTTTGGTCTGCTACTGTCTGTGAAAAGGAATGCAGAAAGACCTAAGTCTTCAGATTGTACAGAAAGCTTATGAAGTGTCAGAGTGGCAGGAAAGAAGAGAGAGCACTTTGCTTTCAAAACCAGTATTTTTAACATAACCAGATCTCCCCTGGTGCTCTGAACTCCCCTGACCCTTTTCCCCACTACCGAGACTGCTGTCAAACTCCCAGTTCTTGTTAATATTTTTGTTCATTGCTCCTGGCTCCTCCTGCACTGCTGTGGGATCAAAACGCGATGAGAGAGCAGCTCAGGAGCAGCAGACAGTCTGATTACCAGGCAAGCGACAGAGTGAAACTGGTTAGGTGGTTTAAATTATTGAGTGAAGGACTGGGAGGAGGAGAAGAATGGAGGGGGAGGCTGAAAGAGGAAAATGGAAATGATGGTTAAGAAAGAAGAGGAGAGGCTTAGACATGGGAGAATGGAACGCCTTCACTGGGTTACCCTGCGCTGGTACCGGTGCAGTGGTGTCTGCGCTGGGTAGTGCCTGTGCGACAGGGGAGAGAAGCTGCCGCCTTTTCCATTCAGAGCATCACCTCACTGTCCTTTGTGCTTTTGCTCTTAATTAGGAAGAGCAATAGCTAAAAGCCAAGCATACAATTTTATTGTTTGAAACAAAGATTTTTTTTATCTCATGTATTTTGCTAATTCTCAATTCTGACAGGTTAATGATGATTTGTTCACTTTAGTATTTCTTAGCATTTATCTTTCATGGTAGTCAGTGCTGCATATTACCATATGCATAGCCTTCAGCGCTGTCAAGAGGCTGATGATACAAAGCTCATTTTCCATCCCATTATTTACCTGCAGTTTCTAATAAGACAGACTAGCAGAAACTCCCTGCCGTACCTTTCAAGGAGGGCTGCAGATTTACTGTCAATTTTTCTGTCTACCTTCATTCATTCATCTGTGATTGTCTCCCTGCTTTGAGGCCTCCTGCCTTCAGTGTTGTACCATAATACCTTAAAATAGTAGATTTGGCATGTTACGGGGTCATGAAATGTGGCCAGGTAGGATGGGTGAAAAAGAGACCTAACAGCAACCTACACAAGCATTGCTTTTTGGTTTGGTGTGTGCTTTGCCCCTTCTGGGCTGGCTTATCTGTGACCCTAGAAGAAAGGCTGAAATAAAAATATTTTGATGCTTTGGTTTGATCTTGTTTAACGACCAGGAGCAGTAAACCATCTTCAAGTGCTGTAGCAGTATTGCTGCAAGGAGACCCAACTCAACACAAGACTCGTTGATTTGTTGGGATTTGTTTTGTTGGTGCTTTGTTTGGGATTAGGCTGTAACAAAGCTCATCTCAGTGTTGCGTTTCTGCGCTGTCGTATTGTCAGCCTGAAACCAGCAGAAGACAGCTTCTTGATCATGTTGTGTCAATTATCCATAGATTTAAGGAGAAAGAAAACAAAGGTCTAGTTTGTGATGATTATGTATCATTTGTCTTTTGCTGAACAGAGTTGCAGTACTGGACAAAGTTACAGACTTTCTTTTATTCCTGGGGAAAATTCTCGTTGCTGGTGGTGTAGGTAAGCTAATCAATTTTTTCGAAGCGGTGTGTTCTATTTTCTGGTACCTACAAGTATGCCGGCTGTATTCGTATGTACTTAGTTGGAGGTTCTCCTTGATCTGACTGTTTGAGGAAGTTGTCCCTGTGTTTCTAGGATTTTCAACATTGAACTAAACTATAACTATAACTAAACTTCCCCCACTGCCCTGGTGTGTTGTTGAGAGCATCTTTTCCATAACTGCTTTTACCGCTTTTGCATGTGTTGCTGGCACAAGGACTTCTGCAGCCAAAGCATCATAACTGGACCAAACCAAATCTGCATCCAATAAGTCAGCCACAATCGGTTCTCCTTTCATAAGAGCTGAACAAAGTTGCAAATGAGATTCACCTGGTAGCAGACAGCATGCATACAAGAGGAGGTGGTGCAGGTCTGCAGGAGATGGGCCTGAAGCTCTGCTGTGTTCAAGCCCATTGTAGCTATAAGCTATAGTGAAAGAAATAGAGTATTTCCAACATCCTTATAGGGTTTTCTTAGTTACCAGTAAATATTAAAATATATTATTCATGGTTGTTTGTGACAGAAAAGTGATTTTTTTTTTTTTAAATTAAGCACTTTACGATATTCAAGCTGGCAGTATTCTTATATGGTTTTTCTAAATTGTCACAGCAGTTTCAAAACATTATTTTACAAATAACCATGTTTTGTATTCTGTATACTTTAAAAGATTATTAATGAATTATATTTTAATCAAAAGTTGAATAGATTAAAATATTTTGTCATTACTGTAGAGTGACTTTCAAACTGGGGTAGCAAATTTGATTTGAAACATACTCTCTGAAATGTAAGCCATGAAATACTGAAATTAATTGAAGTCTTTGTCCTCTTTAAGAATAAATTCTTTGAGCAATTTCTGTTGTGGAAGCGTTGGTCTGTTCTAAACTTATTGCCGCGCTTATCACTAGCACTGCCATTTCTCCTTTTAATTGGAAATAGTTAAATATTTCTTCAAGCAAGAAAATTTAAATCAGCAGAATTTTTCTTTCTTCTTTTAGAAAAGATCCACCCAATGGTCTTTGTTATCCCATGTCATTGTCTTGTTTGTCATTATTTATTAATTTTGCTGTTAAATCCAGTAGAATGATGAAACAAAACAATTCATTAAAGTCTTTCTGGGCCCATGAATATCTTTATGGTAATTGATTCGTTTACATATGTCTTCTGTCAGAATATAGATCCAGCAGATAATTAGTATTGAGGAATTTATTGTTTACATACTCTTATTTAAACCGACCTTGGATCTGTTGTCTGTTTGGTTTGTCTCATCTGTTCTTTAAGTGTTAAGAAAAAGAGTTGGCGTCGCAGTCACTAATCTCCTGTGCTTCTTGCAGGTGTTCTTGCGTTCTTTTTCTTCACACAGAGAATACCAGTCTTTGCACAGGAAGCACCAATGTTAAATTACTACTGGGTACCATTGTTGGTAAGGCAACCATCTGATCTCCTGAACACTGAGGGCAGTTTGAGGTGCTTAGAGTGCCCAGGGCATGGTCTGGTAACAGCTCCTGTTGTCACACTCTCAGTGGTGTACTATCCACTGAAGTGAGGACTGATCTGCTACACTCCAGTCCTCTGGATCCTTCAGGCAGAAGTGGCACTGCAGTGACTCTGCGCCTTCAGAAATATTAGGTTTCACATCTTTTTTGCTTAGACTTCCCAGACAGCAAAGGCTGGTGGTGAGGCACTGATGACAGCTTGGCTTCTAATGGATGGGACTTGTGATGCGTCTCTTTCTCCTTTTGTAGTCCCCCTAGACTCCAGAACATCTCCAGTATGACTGGTTCTTCAGAGCAATCTTGAAGGAGTTCAGAATATTCTTGGCATATATTCTCTCTGTGGGTTGAAATTGCCTCAATTTGACAGCTCAAAAACTAGCAGCTACTGCATGTTAGGATAAAGCGTCTTGAACCTGTGATCCCTTTCCCCAGCAGTAGTAACCGTTGGTAGAACTACAGAGCTGCCATAAATCCTCCCAGATTTGCTTAGCAGACTTGTGTTAATGCTGCCACATTGGTGCCAAACTAAATTTGGGGGTTTATTGTGGTTTGTTTTTCGCAGACGGTCATTATTGGCTCCTATCTAGTTGCACATGGGTTCTTCAGCGTCTATGCAATGTGTGTCGACACGCTTTTCCTCTGCTTCTGTAAGTACTACGTTTTCTTTCACTAATGCCTGCAAGTCACAGGAAGAGAAGTAGAAAACCACCTTATCCGTTCCTTACAGAATTCTGATGACGTGCTGGCAGACTGTGTGAAAAACAAGGTGCTTCTGCTTTTCAGACTGGCTCCTGGATGCATTCTGCAATGCAGAAGTGTTTTAGTATTCAGATTTAATTAGTTTAAGTAATGGAAGGTAGCTATATGGCTCATGGGGATATCTGGCTTTTGTTTTTCAGACGTTCCTTAACTTTCATTAACAGTTCGCGTCTGGGTGCTTTGTAAAGAGCCCTGTATAGCAATGATTCACTCAAACCTCCTGTTAATAACAAAGTTATTCTTTGGTATATAGGTAGTCCTTTGTTTTCAACTTAGAGCCCAGAACAAAGTATTATGCTGAATTACTTTCAAATTTCAGTAAAATACCGTTTTAAAAACTATCTGTCCCTTGGACCCCCCCAATGTTGCCATTGTTGCAATTGTGGGCACCCTCAAAGGAACTGCTGTTCAGTGTGTCCAGTCAAAGAATACTAAAACCACAGAAGAAATCTGTTGGTCTCAAATTAGGACATGACCGTAAGAAGAGGATGTACTTATTACAAAATACTTTCCATTTGCCAGACTTACTGAATTAAAGAAATAAAGATACAATTTGTCTATAATGAAAATCATTGTGGTAGGTCCAAGTAGAAGTTACATAGCAGTTACTGGTTTTGCAATTGGTGAATTGTTTGATAATACCAAGGGAACAGTCTATAGCTTGATCTATCATGTTCCAGTGGGTCACTGAGGCAAGATGAAGATGGTAATACTGATTCTCCTCTTAAAATTGTGTACATTCTTTCTTT